TCCTTTATCACTTTCTTTAAATCTGCCTCTTCTTATACATGTTTTGTAGATAATGTCTTAAACTTTTTTTTCTGTTTTCATTTTATAGCTACACATAATATTATGTAGTTTCTTCCATTTCCCTTTGCAGCTGATCTAGCTGTTGTCTGTAGGGAAGAAAAAAAAGCAGCCTTAGAACTTCGTTAGTCCTAGTGATACTTAGGGTCTCTAGGCAAATTGTTTTTTTTTTCTTTTTCTCTCTCCATATATAAAAACATATTGAAATCTGCATATGGTTCAGAAGAGGTTTTATGAATGTCAAGAGGCCTGGCAGTTCTCTCTGTAGGGATCTAGACCTTTGTGAAGTGAATTCAAGATGCTCATAGGAGACTGGCAATGGCTGTGTGTGGCAAAAGTAAGTGAGGCGGAACTTCTGGGTGCAAATAGGGAGAAGCATCGAAGGAAACTTACCTGAAACAGTGGCTTCTTAGTATAGTCTGTCCCCATGTGTGTTACTGACAGATGCTGGTGCTTTTGTTTAAGAGAGTGGGAAGTGACCTTTAGGTTTAGTGCACTTCTTGATCTCTCCGTACTCGGGGAAGAGAAGTTTCAGTTGCATTGTTAGATTTATTCGCTGTTTGCAGCACAATTGTAGCCACTGTTCTTTTGTTCCATTTTACTGTGTTAAAAACAAGCTGCTGACTAAATATGAAATAGTTGTTGATGAATGTCAGATAATGCATTTTATATGTATGTGTATGCACACACACACACATTTAACAGCAACCTGCTAGAAGATTTGGAGAGGACTGTGTATTTCAGATGTCTCTACTGGTGTTTTTTCAGGGTCCCAGTAAGTGGTCTTGTTAAATGGCAGACACTGGCTGTTGTGTGAGCCGATTTCTGTGCTGTTAAGACTGCATCTTTTAAGTCACATGAATCTTAGCTCTGAACAGAGCGAACTATCTGGTTTTATTATGTATAAGGCAATATTTCTCCACTCTAAGTGCTGTATAAGCATGTAAACATATCCATATTTTTGGATTTATGCCATTTTAATAGATGGAAACTTGTACATAAGTTGTCTGGCCTGGGAGGTTCTACTGGGACTTTTGAACTGCATAGATGAAAGTGAGAGTTGAATGTTTGAAAGATCATTAGGCTTCTGAAAACAGTGGATTTTATCATTGTGACTTGAATAACTAGCACTTTGACAAATCTACTTTTTACTTAAGATTCAGCATTTGTCTATTTAGTTAATGTTTTCACTGTAACTGTCTTGGGTTTAGCCCAGTGGGTTAGGTACAACAAGAGATTCTTTCTAAGGTGTTTGGGATGCCACAGGAAGTTTCAGTTTATTATGAGCACAGACATGAACTATGTAATATAACAATTATTTTTTCCTGATGGAACCAGTGAAAAATTTTTGGGAAAATTCAACCAGTGCAGAGATTATAATCAGTCAACATATTTGATAACTAGGCTGCTATCATTTTGATATGCTTTTAAGGGCTGTAATAACTATTGGGACTGAAACTTAAATATTTGTATGCATGTGTATTTGCTGTCTTCCATATTTGCTGTCTCTATACATGAAAAAGTATGCAGTTGTCATTTGGGGTGTGAAACCCAGGATGCAGAATGGTTAGTATGTGTGGGTTTTTTTCTGAGCTTGCATAAATCCACGTTCATGTCCCAGACTTTCTTGACTATTGGTAAAATACAGACATGAATCCACTGTCAATTCTTGGCTTCCTTACATGTTTGTTTTTGAAGAAAGTATAAAATTTTAAGTTATTTTTTGGCCTAGCTTTCTAAAACTGTCTCTTCCTCACCAAGTTATGGTAGCTGATCAGGTGATCAAATCACTTTTCACTAATTTGAACAGATTTTTTCATTTTATCCTTAGTAATGAACTAAATGAACCTGTTTTATTTTGTACCAAAGTTGAACAGAAATGGGGCCTCTGGTGGTCTAGTGGTTAGGGTGCAGCACTCTCACCGCTGCGACCCAGGTTTGATTCCCAGCCCCCCGGGCAGATGGAGCTCGCTTAGCCCTGTAAGGCAATCCATCTAAGAGAAGGTCACTCTAAACAAACCTACGTCCTGAGACCCTCACTGCCACTGTCCAAGCTTGCTCGGCCCCGGCAGATGAACCTCAGGATTAAAGGGTGGGCTCAGTTCAGCGCACGCTGTGTCTCACCTAAAAAATCCACTGCGCAGGCTCGAAGGGTTAATGACCTTTCCCAAATCTTCGCTCGCGAAGACTGGCCATTATTATATGAACAGAAATAGTCTTAGAATCAGGCATAGTGTCTCACCAACTGCATTGTTTTAAACTGCTACATCTCTTTTCAAGTGCGTGTGGAAATACGTCCATGTTTCTATTTGTTACATTGATTACTTTCTTAATATTAGACACTGATCAAAACATACAAGAAACCCAAAATTATACTTATAAAGGAAACAGATTTTGACACCTTTAGGGCATGTTTTAAATTTGGTACAGGTTGCAATGCAGTCCTTGGGATAGAGGTTATGTTCCACTGGTAATTGGAGCAAGTGTCAGTTTAAATAGCTGATTTATGAACAAGATATGCAAGCAAATGTTTTCCAAGACAGGTCAGTGACATCCTTGCAAATGATGCACCATTTATAAGAAGTCAGTTTAGGGGATTATTAGCTTGTGCTTGATGCTGGAGAAATATAATTATACTGATTCTACAGTGGGTACAGATCTGTAGCTGTAACACTTCTTGAGACTAATTCCCCTCTGAAAGTCAGACAACAGTGTGAGGAGAGAACTCACACATTTGAAGTGCATGTATTTTATGCATTGTATCAGCCCTCCCTTTTTCTTCCTGCTACCCCATCTTAACTCTGTATAAAGAAACTTTGTACCTTTTTACTTTTACTCCTCTTTGGTCAAGCCTCTGAAAATTTTCTGTGGTATTTAGTACTTAATTTTCAAAATAATAATGAAAAAAATACCTTTGGCAAAATGGTTCATAAAGGAGCAGGAGTTTTCAAGGGAATTTTTCTGATCAATATTATGATTTTATTTGGTGTATGTTAGACGTGGACATAAATACTTCTTTACTGAAGTGAACCAAACGTTAAATTTTTGTTGAAAAGATTATTATTTTGTTATTACTATTACTATCTGTCTTTGTTACCCTGCTGTGCCAGAAAATCCTATAAAAGCTACTTCCTGGCATAGAATTGAACTGTGCTAGTTTCCAAGAGTTGTCTTCATCCGCGATTTGATTTTTTTTTTTCCTTTCAAGAGTCTCTAGCAATTTGGATCAATTTCAGTTTTACCTACAGAATTTTGAAGTTTGTGCTTAGTGCATACACATTGTTTTCAGTCACTTCTTGATTGATCTCAGTGACTTTTTATGAAGACTGTTAAGAGTTCCTGCGTTATAAAAAGAAAAGAGTGTAAATTTGGAAATTAGTAAATATTGCACACGAAATAGAATTATTATTGCACTAACTTAAATATTTGTTCAGTTGAAGCATTGAGATGTAACTTCATGTTTTGATAATTAGAACTGAATTAATTTGTCACTAAAATTAAATTGTATATGGGGTGGATAGTCCTAATCATAAAGATTGTAGTTGGCTTCCTCTTTGTTTGTTTATTGGGGTTTCTTTGTTTGTTGGTTTGGTCTGGGTTTTTTGTTTATTTTTGTTTTGGCAACCTCCATACAGTGGTGCTATCTTTTGAACTCTGAAATTTATCTGTCTCCAGGAAGTCTCATTTTTGCTATTGCTTGATACTTTTTCCTTTGTCCAGCTGATGAATACTGTTTTTTTTAATCCTGATTATACTTTTTTCTCCCCTACAATTGATTAGCAAAACAGATCTCCATCAAACTTTAATCAAGAAAACACTTGTAAATCTGATTAATATCCTTGCTATCCTTGGTATGGTAAAATGGATTAAACCCCCTACATTTAATTTCATTTATTTCATAATATTTCTGTATAGTAGCAGTGGATTAGGCTACTTTACTTGTTTCATGCCTTTCACCTCAATTAGTTTTTTTCCCTTTACATTTAAATGAAGAACTGACTCAAAACTACTACTAGGCAAATTAAGATATTTTGAAATTTTGAACGAAAAAGTCATTCATATTAAATGGTATTTTTGGACATTAAAAGTTTACTTTTCTAACTATTAAGATTGCCCCCCACACACCTGCCCTCATTCTAGGTTGTTTTCTTGATATGATTTTGTAGATGGTTTAAATATTTTTTCTTTCTGTTAGCTTCTGCTTTCAGATGCTGTTATAACATAAGCTCATTTGTGGATTATGTTTGCTTATCAGTAGGTGTAACAAGTATTAGGTACTTGTGGTTTTTGGGGGGGCTTCTGTTTGCTTTTTTTTTTAAAGTGTACAATTAGATTTCAAAAAAGGAAAGCTAAGATTTATTGCTGTCTTTTAGTTAGTTATATTGTAGCCCTTAGTATTCAATTTTTTTCAATTGACTTATTTTAATTATATTTATGAAAGTGAAAATTAAGAAGTTCCTACAATTACTGGTTCAGTGTTGTGTTTACATTTCTCTTTCTGTTGTAAAATTAATTTAATTTGGTTGAACTCTGATTATGTAGTCAACTGAATTTTCCTCAAATACTGCAAATACTAAAGGTGTTTGTAAAAGTTGCTTAGGATGAGATTTTCTTAAAAGAGAAAAATATGTCAAAGTAGTGAGGAAAAAAGAACATTCCTTATATAGGTATTCTTGTATTTCACAGTTCTGTAACAGGAGAAACTACATCTAAGAAAGTTGTAATATTTTCTAACAACCTGTTTAGATGTAAAATTTTCATTGATTAACCATAGATTTTTATTTTTTTAATGCATGGTCTTTCCTGTTTAGTAGACTTCCATTTATTCGACAGCATGGTGATAATAGTTGGTTTAAAAAATGTAGTTTGTCAAAAAAGCAGATATGCTGGGAAAGTAGCTAGACTTAATTTTAACTTGATAAGTTTTTACTTTTTTGAAACAGGAGATCAGCAAAATCTCGAAGCAGAAGTCCATATTCATCAAGGCACTCGAGGTCTCGTAGCAGACACAGATTGTCCAGATCCAGAAGTCGTCATTCAAGTATTTCTCCTAGTACATTGACTCTGAAGAGTAGCCTGGCTGCTGAGCTGAACAAAAACAAAAAAGCAAGAGCTGCTGAGGCAGCCAAAGCCAGTGCCAAAGCTTCCAATACTTCAACACCTACTAAGGGAAGCACTGACACTGCTGTAAGTGCACCTCAAGTGAACAACGTAAAGGATCTGAAGAAGATCAAAACTGAGCATACACCTTCTCCTACCAGCAGTGCGAGTCTGAAAAACGACAAGGCAAAAGCAAAGGTCTCACTTCCTGAAACAAAAGGGGAAAATAATTTAATTGCAGACAAAGTTACTAAACAGAAGCCTGCAGCAGTAAAAGAGAATAAATTAACTGTTGTAAAACAGCCACTGGTCACTGTAAGAGAGAAAAGCAAGCAGAGTGCACCAAGTGTAGTAGCCAAGGAAAAGGATCGAATCGTTGCACTACCAACCTCCACGCTGCCACCCTTGCCTTTGCCTCCCACACTGCCTGAAGACAAAGAAACTGATAGGTGAGTTGTGACAGAGATTTGCTTTTGGGGTTATCTGTTCCTTTTTATTATTGTTATTATTATCTGTTCTTTTATTGTTGGTGATATTGTTGTTATTATTGCCTTCGCAAAATAAATACAAACCTATTTGCTAGATCAGGCTGACGCATTATGTACTTTGTTTCTGCTCTTCAGTTGTTTAACTGTGTTTAAAGGTGTGGTTATTAGTTAGGAATTTGATCTTAAAAATAACTTAATCACAGAGTCACAGAATATGCTAAGTAAAGGGATCCACAAGGATCATTGAGTCCAACTCCTGGCCCTGCACAGGACCATCTCCAAGAGTCACACCATGTGCCTGAGAGTATCATCCAAACACTTCTTAAACTCTGTCAGGCTTGATGCTGTGACCACTTCTCTGGGGAGCCTGTTACAGTACCCAATCACTCTCTGGGTGAAGAACCTGTTTCTAATATCCAACCTAAACCTCCCCTGACACAACTTCAGGCCATTCCCTTTGGTCCTGTCACTGGTGACCACAGAGAAGAGATCAGTGCCTGCCCCTTCTCTTCCCCTCACAAGGAAGTTGTAGACTGCAGTGAACTGGTTCTTGAAAAGAGAAGGATTTTGTGTTGGAGGAATCTTTCAATAAAAAGTGTACTGAAGAGGTGACTTTAAATTGCTGGTACATAATAGCTTTGGGACTAATGCAAGGATGCATTCAAGGATTCAAGATTTCAAGTTTTGTGTGAACATAAACTTCTGGGGAAAAGTTGAATTCAGCAGCAATATGTGAAAATTCTTTATTTAGCTGGAGTTTGAGGTAAACATTTCTTTTTCCTTTGAAAGGCAATTGTTTTATGGTTGTGCATTATTTTAGTGTAATTTATCTCAAAGTTCAGTAGTATTATAATAGAGTATGTATAATGGAAGTGAGGTTCATGGCTTATCATTTTTGTTAACTTTTGGAGTGTAAAAAATGGTCTGTAGTGAAGAAATTAATTTCTGTCTTCCAAGTGTCATCTGAGTTTTGACTGTGTTAAGTCTGTTCCTAGTCCAAAGAATATGGGCTGTGATTTGTATTGGAAAATTATGCTGTTAGGCTGGAAGTTACTATTTTTCCTTCCGTTTGGTGATGAGAAAAGTTGCTTTTGGTTTTACTCATGGTGTTACATGCCTCTCACATGTTTGCAAGAAATCACTTTCTCACAAGTAAACCAAACATTTTTAGCTAGAGCTGTAAATGTTTCTCTTGTGTTTGCTAGTAATTTAATGCTGTATTACACATTAAGGTGCATAGGAGACCTTGGGAAATAAATGCAACCTAACAGTATTAGATAGATACATTCCTCTTTTACTACTAAAACCAATCTTGTTTCTTGCCCTTCAGCACTGTAGCAAATTGAATACCTGTGTGGCAAATGTACAATTGCATTTAAATGTGTGTCAAAGCCATCCTGTCTAGGTAAATGAGATTCCTGACACTGCTAGCAAGATTCACTGCTTTAACTAAAACCGAGGCTAACTAGTTTAACTAAATATAACAGGCATTGCAGTATTAATTGCAATAATATGAAATGAGATTTCATATTGAAGCCGGCTAATTGTTTCTGATTATTATTTTTTTATGTAATGCCTGTTTAAGTTTAGCTAAACTGTACAGAGGAGTTAAGTACAATTAATTTGTGGTTCTTTCAGCACTGGGCTCATTCTTTCAAAAAAGAAACCCTAATACTTGCGAACAGCTATATTAAAAAGATTAATGGCAAGTAATAAAGTATCTTTTATGCTTTGCTTAGTTTTGCCTATAGGATGTTATAAACTTCAGAATAGTTGTGATTATAAGTCATGATAAAGCTGAAGCCATCGAAGGAAAAAGATCAAATTTTTTAAAGGTGGAGGAGGACAAAGGTATTTTTGGGCTCATAGTTACTGTGGGGAGATTGTGCCAACAAAGAAAGCTTGATGCTGTTTCACTGTGTAAGTTAGCTGAAAGGGAAAATTGCCATGGTTGTCAATGATGTGTGATTTAACAGACCTGAAAAAAAAGACTGCGCTTGGCTGCCTCTGTTTTCATGTGCCACTTCTAAAATCTGCTTCAGAACCTTTCATATGTTGTAATTTCACTCATATTGAAAATTTGGGGGCAAAACTGTGAGAGAAATACAAATATATGAACTTCAAAAATAAGAGTTTTTCATTACCAGGATAACTGCATGCACTGTGCTAACGTGGTTTATTCTTTATAGTATGTTAACCATTTGTGGTAAAGGCAGTATATGCTTCCTTCTGATGCGTCTTTAAAATTGGATAATGACAGCTTGAGAAGTGGCAAAAGACATAAAAGTGTTCTGTTTTCATGGGGAAGCACAGACACATGCAAAACACTGGAATGCTTTATTTTACTATATAAATATTGCTAATTGCAATTTAATTAAGAAAAAATATATGCATTCTCCATGATAGGAGTTGGCAATGTCTTTCCATTTACAGAATTTCTGCTTTATCTATGAAACTAAGCAGGTAGGAAGTTGCAAATAAACCTTTGCAGAGGAGGATGCTGACATTAGAATAGTGTGATTTGGCAAACGCAGCTGTATTGGGAAATGTCCCCTCAAAGCATGACTCAGTTTTCTTGATATGGCGACAGAGTTTGAAATTTAAAGAGTGAATAATATGAGAGAGTCCTCTGGGGAGAAACAATTATGTAATTATATGAAGTTTAGAGGTGATCCTGGCTTTAAAATTGCTGGATATGCAGTAGCTGTGCAAATCTAGCTAAATCTGCTAAAATGGAACCACATGCTTAAAAAAAATCCTACAACAAGTATAATGTTTTCAGACTTTCTCCATTAGAATGGGAAGAGCATCTCTCTAAGATCATTGTGTTTAGTAATTCCTGAAGGAATACATTGCTGTACACGTGTTTGGGGATTTTTCTCAAGACAGAGATTGGCAGTATCTGCTGTCTAATTATGGTTGATTAAAAATTGGTCAAATATCAGTAATGGCATAAAAACATCTAGTAATTTTTTTTATCTGATTTTTTTTTTTCCACTTGATTTGCATGCTCATCACTACAGGCATGTTAAATCTGGAGTGTTTCAGCAGATGTATGAGGTTAGAATCTCTAAATGAGTTGGTGCGGACAGCCTGGTAATGCCCTGCAGTGTTACTCTAACCACAAAGCTCATTATCTATGAAGACCAACTTTGTAGAGAACTGGATTAGGATGGTCTTCTCTTTTATATAAGTCAGTCAGAGTACAGATTTTACCACTACACTTGATGTCTGGCAGCACCTGGGCTCTAAATATTCTTAATAGTCTAAGCCATAAGCTTGAAAAGAAGCTTGTGTGGCAGAAGTCTGTCCTAGTAAGGCTTCCTGTGTCATCTGACCTCAGCTTTCACCAGAAAGATCTGATTTTACACTTCTGTAGAACTGTGGTAGTTACCTGTGCATCTTCCAGAGAGCTATTTGTGAGCCTATTATTATCCAAGTCCTGCAAATTCTAAGAGCAGAGATTTCAAATGTTGGTGCATTCATAGTCTGGAATGTATTTTTTAAAAGAATTATTCTAGTATGTTTTCCTTTATGTATGTTAATATTCTGCTGTTGTCAACTTACTAGCAAAATTGTGGGTTTTTTTTAATAGTTTGCGAGAGAATATTTCAGTGAAGTCAGTTAAAGAAACAGAGAAGAAACTTCGCCATCTGCTCGCAGACTTGCCACTTCCACCTGAGTTGCCTGGAGGAGCTGAGGTACCCAAAAGTCCTGAAGAAAAGAAACCAGCAGTTCAGTTACACAGCAAGAGAAGACCAAAGTATGTTTATTAGACTTTTTAAGCCTATCAAGCAAGTAGAAATGATAATAGTTTCTTTAAAATATATTCTTGTCGGTAGAATTCTGCTTTTTAATGACCTGTTTTAATATTAGAGAGGCTTGACTCAAACTGCATGGTTATCATCACTTAATGGTAGTAAGACAGTTAACTAGTAGCATTTCAAATAGTTAGCATTGAGGATTCTTCAAAATTAAGACAACCTTTAGATATATTAACTTTCTTAGAAATATTTGTTGCTTTCTAGAATATGTGGACCACGACATGGTGAAACGAAAGAAAAAGAAATAGACTGGGGAAAGCGCTGTGTGGATAAATTTGATATCATTGGTATTATTGGTGAAGGCACTTATGGCCAAGTTTACAAAGCCAGGGATAAAGATACAGGTAAGTTCAAAAAGGTAAATGTAATCCTGTAATTTTAAGTGAATGGGATGGTTTTGTTTTAGTTCGCATTTTATATTGAGTAAAATTTGTGGTATTCTGCCCTCTAATGTTTGGAAAGTTTTTAGTTGTTGATGTGTTTGTTCAGTTTTAAATCTAGCATTTGTCTAAATAAGAAATCATTTGCTGCATTGGAAAATCATTTATTTGTAAAGCTGCGGCTGAAGGCAAACTGAGTAGTCTTAAATTCTAATTCTAATTTCTTGAGTTTCGATGCTCTGTACAGAATTGAACTAGTGGAGAAGAGAGATTAAATATTCTGAGGAAACTAAATGGCACCCTAGACGGGTTGGCAAACAGTAATCAAATTTGTAAAGGGATGTGAGAGGGAAAGAAGCCATTCAGGAGATTTGGTCATTGTTGTCCTTTGTACTCCAGGTAGTCACTAGCTGACAGTAGGAAGAGAATCTGCTTCTGTGCAACACAGCCCTGAAGAGTGTTTCTCTTGCAGTATAACTGACTTCACAACAGTGTCATTATTTTTAAATTTCTTGTTAAACTCTTGCTGAAATGAGCAATCAGTCACCACTATGATCCACAAGAATATTGTCACTACTTCTAAATAGATATTGCATCCAAATTCTTCATATATGCTGTATATTGCTGGATCATTTTTTGTTCAATTAGTATTTCTTTCTGTTGCTGCTTGCCCTTCTGGCTTATTTGCACATGCTTTGAATGCTGGATTATTTTCTACTTCAGCAGTAGCTGAATTACATAGGACCACACACCAGCCTCAGTTCCTTCTCCAGAAGAATAAGCAGTGTAATTATAATTCCTTCTTCATTCTTTACCTATGCTTGTCTCAGTTTGCAAATTTAAGAACTAAAGTTGAACTGTCACAGATTTTTACCTTGAGAACCATTGCAAATCATTGTTAGGATCTTCTTCCTGCTCTTCTGAGATTCTATTTGGACATTTAACTTTTTAATCCTGCCATAACCATATTGCCTCTTGGGCAAACTTCAGGTTATTTGTGTCTGGCAGTCCTTTCTTAACTTCCAGTAGAAGTTGTTGCTCTCTGCATTTAATGGGTCCATGCAGATACAGCAAACTTTCCATTAGCTTTGTGTGAAGAGTGGCATTAAGGCAAGTAGATGTTGTGTCATGCTGGAATGTGATCTATTCTGAATGTATCATATAAATTGCTGTAGGATAAGTACTTGTTGGAGCTAACAAAGATACCTGTGCTGTCAATAAAATTCCAAGAAGAAAATGATTGAGCTAGCATGTAGTCTTTAGATATCCTCCATGAGTAGATCATGCTCCTGCCATTTGCAGAATATAGTTTCATCCAGCCCACCTTGCAGTAAAATAATAAGGGAAATTTTTCCTCACAGTAAATATGGCAGTGACACTTCTGCTTGTAGAAAGTATACTGATGAATTTAGTCATCTGCCTCATATCTTGAACTGTGTAGTATTTTTGGCTAGATACATGCATTTTGACCTGTGGAGATGTAGTATTAAGATACCCAGAGCAGTCACAGCCCTCTGTCTCTGAAGCTGCTGCTGATAATCACTCTTTCTTTTTTGGTAGGTATGGTGTGGAATATTGGGACAGGCGAGTGAGGTATGCAGGAGGAAGAAGATAGGCCTTACAGTGGGTACCTGAAAACAGTCATTAGTAGTTTTGCTTCACCGTGTGATGCTGATTTCTGTTCAGCATAATGTTTGGTGCAAGCATCAGAATGTTGACTATGAGGTCCATTCAAAAATAGTAATGAATGGGAAGGATTTTACAAACAAACCCAATACTAAAATCCTGTAGTTTGATCACTGATCTTAATGTTTTTTATTTAAATTTTCTTGTAGGGGAAATGGTGGCACTAAAGAAAGTACGTCTGGATAATGAAAAGGAAGGGTTTCCAATTACAGCTATTCGGGAGATTAAGATTCTTCGACAGCTTAATCACCAAAGCATTATCAATATGAAGGAAATAGTGACAGATAAGGAAGATGCTTTGGACTTCAAGAAGGACAAAGGTATGTAAACTAGCAGAGCGCTAGCTCTTTCTGGTCCTGTTCTTAGTATTATAGTCTTCTATGCTGGATTTGAAGTTCAACTTCACTAAAAGGTATGTTTCCAAATTGTGATGCTTGACAAGGGATTTTAATTTTGATTTAAATACAAATAGAAGTCGTTTATTTAACTCACCTATGCCTTTTGCTCATAGAAACATTTTCTGCAAATATTTTGTGGTATAAAAAATGTATTACATGATTCCGGTTTTGCTGGAGAGGAACAGATAGATGTTTGTCTCCTTGACACCCATGGATTAGGGAGGCCAGCAATAATAGGAAGCTCTTAATTGTGAGCTTTTTTGGCCTTTTAATTTTTTGTAGCATTTTTTCATATTATTTAGATATGAATGCTCAATGCTGAAGAGATGTTTTTTTGTTCTAGGCCTTTTTTTTGTTTGAATTGTGCTTCAATTACTTTTTTTCATGTTTGGGCATGTGTCTTGAGAGTTAGAAGAAGAATAAATTGAAAGAATGAAATGCGAGCCTTGTATAGTGGTAGTGTTTTTCCCCAAATAGAAGGCATGCAGACTTCTACTCTTTTGGTTCCTTCAGTTTTAAGTCTGTCTTGTTGCTGCAACCTCCTTAACTTAGAGAATCAAGCAAACAATTAAAATCATGCAGTGTTGTTGCTTGGTACTTTTTTTTTCAGTTGGTCATTTTGCCACTGGAGGCTGTTGCCTCTCCAGTCCAAGTGCTATAAACATTTCCAGGGTATTTTAGTGTCCTGAGGGCAATTTGTTACCTAGTTTGGCTGAGGAGGGTGTTTGTAATGTGGTACCTGTGCTTTCTTCCCTTCTCTCTCTCCCTGAGTTTCTACACAGCAAGCCCATCACCAGTGCAGATAGAAGATTCTGTATATGCTGCACAGCCAGCAGAAACACCAGTGATGTTGTGATGAGTAACAAGGTGGATGTCAAAATTAAACAGGAATTAGTTTGGATTTTTTTCCTAGTGTCTTTACAGAATATAATACCCTGAAGGGTATACAGCACTGACATGCTTTTTTTGTTGTGTTTAAAAGTAGTAAGCATCTATCACAAGAATTTTTCTAGAATTGTGTGGGTTCAGTGGTCAGCACTCACACTAAATACTGACAGTGTGCAACAGCCAGTTTAGGCTTTGTATGTGAATCTTGTACTAAGTTTTAATTAGGTCTAACCTACTTGGCTAATGAGACCACACTGAGCCTTGACTTAATACTTAATGACTCATTAATTAATTTTCTCCCTTTCTGTTTGGTGCCATGTTTAGAATTGAATTGTAAATTTTTTTGCTGTGCTTCAAACTGTGTGTCTCATTAATTTCAAATTTGGAGTTTTCTGTCCAAGTCTATATTTTTGATATTAATTTCAATTTAATTTCTCATTCTTATTTAACAGCCTATTAAAACAATTACGTTTTCTGAAAATTTGCAAGAGCAGGGGCTTCTCTAGAGATGCTAGAATAGAATTTATTTCTGACGGTTGATTAAGTCCTGATAGTTTCTTGAAAGCATCAGCAGGATAATGAGACTGCTGTTTCAACTTGTCTGTGAAAAGATGGAAGTTGTGGGTTTTTTTCAGGCACTGTGTTCTGTATTTCTCTAATGAGTAGTTCATTGTGAGATGGGGATCTATAGCTGAGTTGTGGCCAAATTGTAGTCTGTGCAGGGAACCCATGCAAGTAGGAGGAAGTTTGGTCATTTTCACAGTAAAGTGTTGCAAATGTAAAAGCAGGCTACTCAGCAAGGAACCATTAGAAAAGTGGTAGTGATATTTTACACAGGCAGAGCTTACAGTAGAAGCAAAGTGTTTTGCCCATCTGATGAATATGCTTGTGCTTAATATCTGTTATACATTTACCTTAGTTTTGAAATATAAGCTGGAAAACCCTGCTGATATCCCATTTGTGAGAGTAGGGAATGAGAACATGTTTGCTAACACGTTTCTCTAGTTAGTATGGGTAAAGTTAATATTGTGTCTAAGGCTGTCTGTCATACACTGACATATTACTCATCTGCTTATTCACTTCAGGCAGTGTGGGGTTTTTTGTTTGGATCTCTGTAGTTTAAAATACAGCAAATTTAGTTTTCAGACAGTAATGTAAGTGTTGGGCCCACTTTGTACGGTACTTGATTTAAGGATGGTTTTTCAGATAGTAACATTGGACTGTAAGCCATGGCTTTGTCTTGATACTTTGAGCTGTGTTATGTGTTTTTCAGTGACATACTCAAAAGTATGGAAGAGAGAGGATTACCTGTCTCCCATGTAAAAGTCAATATCTGTCTCTGTCTCATTATTTTCAACAGCATTTTACTTTCAGAGAAAATGGAGGAAAGTATATCTGTCTTTTGTCCTAGCCAGTTTGAGTATAAATTTAAAGACAAGAACGGCTTTGATAGATAGTATTGGTTTTATTCTTTCTAGACCAGCTATTAGAAAAGGAAGTGTAGCACATTGGAGCAGCATGTTACAAATGTTGTAAGTGTATTTCCATCATTGGAAATACAGCATCTCAGGCAGCACAGTTGTTTATCTAGGTTGGGCACATCCACAGCTGAGTGGATAGTACATGGGTCTGTATACTGCAGATCAGTAGTTTTTGACTTTGCAGTCTTCAACATGCATGAGATAGGCTTGATGATAAAGCTGGAACACAGCATTACCAATTACTGATTGGTAATGTAACATGTTGATCCTGAGGCATAATCCTGACAAATAAAATGTGTGTGTTGGATGTGGTGACAAGGAGTATCCATTTTATGTATTTCTTGTGTAGGCTTTTCTGCCATTCCTGTCATTCAGAAGGAGATAGGTGAACACACAAGCTTAGGGATGGGAACACATGACTCATAGTTTGTATTCAGTCTTGTGTGTACAGCTGACCTAACAGTATGTTCCACAGATGTTTTTTTTTGCTTTACTCAGAGTGATAGCATTGATGAGTTATAGTTTGCATTCAGTATTTTCCTAAATTTCAGAACTGGTTATTTTTGTTGAATTTGCTTCCACTGAGCTAATACTGGAGCGATTGTGGGTGTCTTCAACAATAGCAGAAGCAGTCTGACATTGTTGGAACTTACAGCCAAGTCTGCTGGCACCTAAACTTTGCTTCACTTTTCCTTTTTGTTTGCTTCATGATAGTCCAAATTATTTGAAGTTCAAATATATGAACTTCAGTTCACATCCTTTTGGAGCAGAGTTTGGAGCAGGAGGATTGTACTTTGCAGAAGCTCTTCATCTTGTCTCAGTGGTTTTCTTTGTTTTGTCTGAGAAAGTCTGTATGACATTCCCTTGCAACAGTAATTGAAGAAAACAGAAGTTGAAAACAAAAATCTAGGTGTATTTCCTAGATGTATTCAAATCTATACACCTCATGATTTAAGTTACTTGAGTCACTTTATTTCATATAAAGTGAATCATTGGAAAAAACACCTTCCTTATTCTGGGCTTTTGTCAGCTCTGGTTTGTTTCCTCAGTGAGTCTGTCATTTATCTGACTTTGATGTCTTTTTTTTTTCTTTGGGCACCTGAGATGGTCCTTCAGTTCCCAGTTGCCTCTTTGTCAGCTGGGAGCTGTTTGCAAGTACTCAACAGTCTAGCTATGGGATTGCCATGATCTCTTTTTACTAAACAAATGGAAAGTGCCTGACTTAGCTTTTCTTGCTGTGAATGTAAACACAGTAGGTATGCTGACTGACATCCCTTCATCCTTCTGACTGGAATAGGCATTTTTGCTAACCTGAGGAAGGATATAAAACTTTGCATGGAGACCAGTAATAACAGATCTGGTTAACACTGTGGCTTGTTTCTTTGTTGTTGTTTTGGATTTTTTGGGGTTTGTTTTTTTGTATGTGTAAGTGTAAATTATCTGTTCGGATTTTGTGTGTGTTTCTGTAGATTAAATTTTGATTTGATTTGCAATACAAATTAGCAAACTTTTTAGGCATGAAGTTGATATTTATCTTGACAGTACTGTAGTACATGAGGACACAAACTCTGTAGTACATTGTCATATGACTAGCAAATTGCTTTCCCAGAGCTGTCAAGGAGTACTTAGTCTGAAAGCTTATGATTTGGAAGGAGTCTGTGACAGCAATCCCGTAGTCATCAGAGTGCTTCTCTGTACAGCTTCTTCTCTACTTAGCTAGCTTTGTCGGGGTTTCCTAGGAAGTTGGGTAAAACCAATCTGAGCAGAATTTCAGAAACCTGTAATGATCTACAGCTTGCCTTGCTGCTCCTGAAATAGCTGATAGAAATGTCTTACCCAAATAGTTTTCATGCTACGGGCTAAGTTATCAGGAATAGTGTGATTGCTTGAGTGGTGCTTCCCATTTGTGTGTGCTGTACTGGACTCTGGTCTGGAATGAGTGCAGACCTGATTGTGTGGCTTTTCAACTTGAGCTATGGCAAAATGAGAAAAATCCCTGATGATTAATCAAAGATTTCTGTTCTTTTTTTTTGTTTGGTTTCTTATTTCCTTGTTGTATATGATGAAACAAGGACAGTATTTAATACCAGTGCTTCTGTATGCCCTTGGCCTGTATGCCTATATCAGGACATATATGGAGCTTGGGTTGGATTTGCTTCAAGAGGAGAATGCAATTAAACTTTCCAATGGAAGAGTAACAAGAATAACATTATAATTAAATAGAAACTTAATATTGGGTGAAAATATAAAGAAAGAAAAAAAATAGTATAGCATCAATGGTTTCTTTAGTCTTCAGGTGAATAATTCAGTGGCTAGGCCTATATTTGGTGTTTTGCAAATCATAAAAGAGATTAATAAAACATGAGTTGAAAGACAAGAGAAATGTCTGTTTAAGGGACTTTAAAGAATTCAAATGTAAGGAACTCCAAAGAATTAATGGACAGTTTCTTCTTTGGTTTTCAAGCTCTGTTTGATAAAATCCTGTTTAAAACTCTTACAATATAGTGTATCATGAGTACTGAAAGAGAAATGTTAAGGGAATAGAAGAATAACTATAATCCAGTTGTATTTAATCAATCAAGGGGGAAAATTGTGTTGTAGAAGAAGCTGAGGAGGCTTTATTAGCAAAATGAAAATCTGAATAGTGAGTACATAACAAATGTTGAAAACCTGTGCAACAACTCAGCATTGTACATACCATGCACTGAATAAAGCAGGGATTCTGAGTTTGTTTTAAAGCATTTCTGCACTTCAAGATACAATTGTAAGCATTTATACCAGAATTAAATTAAAATTTGCATGTAATAAGGCACTTCTGGGCTCCCGGTTCCTCTGATGTGTATCTAATCAGATATTTTGAGAAATACCAAACACCTTCCCTATGAATTACATTTGGAAAACATTTGCTTAAAAGCTGTCATCGACAGAGGCTTTTGGATCATTTTCCCCTGCTGCACCCTCCCCGCTCCCCCCCCCGTCTGAAGCATTTGTGTCTTTGGGAGCAAGTGCATAACTTAATGTCCTGTTTTGTTGGATTTGTGTGGTTTGATGACAATCCAAAAAAAATCCAGAGCCTGTCTGTGTCACAAAAATGCAAAGTATGTTTTGTTAGGTTTTTTTGGCCTCTCAGGAAAGAATTACAGATCATTAGTGCCACATTTTATTGCTTTACCTATTTTGTATGCATAGCTTTACACCACTTTACCCCACTCATTTTGTGTTAAGAAATTGCTACTCTTGGAGCTCCATGACTTGAAATATATGACCAAGAGGAGACAATGTGTTAATCCTTTAATCATTCTAAATTGGTATCTCACTTGATGAACCCCATCAGTCTTAACTGACAAAATGGTCAGAAAGATGAATTTTTCTAAGTGCAAACAAAAGGAGTAAGGTGAAGATTATTTCCATCCATGTGAGTCTCCTTTATTTATTGTGTACCTCCCTAAGAGATTCAGCTGCTCTCTCTTATCCCATATTCAGAAGTAGGCAGTATTACTCCTGTTCAGCTGCTCCATCAACATGTAGTGACATTAAGGTTTCTTATTATCTCAGTTGATGAAGGAAAGAAGATGAGCTGCATGGTATTAGCAAAGGAAATGCGGCACCCAAGACACACACCCCTGTTAATACTTCCTGTGTTAGCACTTGTGTATGGAAATGGACTCTAGGCGTCCTCCCACCCCATAGGTACTTACTTATTGGGAAGTGCAGGCCTTTGACATAACAACAGTAAGATGAGGAACTTTAAAGTCAAATAAATAATGCTTGGTTTTTTTGAATTGCGTGCACCTTACTGTTAAGAGAGCTTCACGTTTTTATGACACTGCTTTCAGAAATGGGGATACTGGGCAAAGCTAGTGTGAAAGAAAAGGTCATTTTAAAGTGAAACTTCCAAGTTATCAAATGTCTTGCCTTAATAAAGGAGCAAACTATTGTTTTTTTCTGTTATGTTTCCCTTTTTTGAAAAATGGACATTTACGTGGCATTTGTTTTGATAGAACTAAAGTATGCTGTAAACTTGAACTCCGACTAAGTTGTAGTAAGCATGCTTCTGGCTGTGCACAATTCACTTGTGAAGTCTTCAAGGACTGTTTCTTCTTCCTGAATAACTAACTATAGCTTCTTTTCCTATTAAAAAGGATCAGATTCCCCAATCTGATGAAAAGCAATGGAGATTTGAAATTATCAGATGGAATAACTTAACTATTTTATTGACAGAAACTGTAGATTTCTGTCAGAAAAGGGGACTGTATTTGTGTAGGAATCAACTAACAGGAGTTTCATTTCAGTTTGCTTGATAACTTTTTTGCAGCTACAGTCACTTCCAAATATAGCTTGAGTAATACCAGTAATCAGGTTTTAATGGTTAGATTGCAAAAGTTAGACTAATTTTAATAGTTTCTCAGAGTGAATATAGAAGATTTGGCTTTAAGTTTTTCTTTTTAAATCAAATCCTAACATTGTCTATCATGTGGGTAGGAAATAGGTAGTAATGCACAAGTGTAATGGATCTGTGAATTTCCTCTTAATCTTATATGGAAAGAACATTTAGCATTTTTACTGTTCTGGTGTATGTTTCTTAATGAGAGTTGCAGAGAATATAAATAATCGTATGTCGTCTCCCAGGTACTACTCTGCTTTATTTATGAATTGTCTCCATTGTTGTCAGCTTTCCTTCTTGCATGAGGGTACCAGTTGTGATTGCTGGTTATAAATAGCAGTGAAAAAATCCTGGGAGCTAGTGACAGAGCAGGAAATTGCTCAAGGCATGGAGCCTACTTTGCATATAAACAAGAGGACTCTGTTCAGCTGTTCTCACTAAACAGGTCTGCAGTCAGTCTTTCTCCTTGTCATGTACACACATGCAGCCAGCTGCCATGACAGAATTAACTTTCCCTTTTATTCCAGAGCAAGAAGATACCAAGATTCATTGGTATTCAGTTTTTTTTTGAGGTGACATCCTCTGAAGGGCATATCTAGGTTATTGTGACGCTGCAGCATTAATATCAGGTGTTTATTTCAAAGCATTTTAAAATATGTCATGGTTCATACTTCAGCAGTTGTCACTGAAGTAGAGCTAACAGCAGATTGCTATCTTGTTTGAAAAGACCAAGATTAGGAGCCTCTGTGCTTTTCCATGCTGAACTGGTGAACTGCATTGGTGAACTCAGTTATGCAGTTAGTAACACAGCAGACTTTTGGTTATTCGTGGCTCTTAGTACTTCCTTCTCTCCTTTTGAAGTGATGGGGTTTTATTGTACCTGCTTGATTGACCTCCTCTGTACAGGGGTATTTTATTGTATTTTATGATTAGTATTTTACTTCCTCTGTATCACATACAGCAGGACAAAAGTACCTAAATTAAAAACAATGAACTCTTGAGTGTCTTATGCAGTATCCTGTGGTTTAGCTGATCTTTGCTGATCTTTATTACAAGTTTAACACTTACTGCATGAGTAATCTTTTTCCTGCTTGTTAAATAGCAGATGGACTTAGCATTCTTTCTTCCTTTTTCAGCTACTATACAAGAAAACAAGTCAGTTCATTAGAATGAGGCTGTGTGTTCTGTCAAGCTGACTTCTTGTTATTGCTCCAAGACTTTCACTAGTTTCTGAGTTGAAACTTCTTATTTAGGAGCGGGAACCTGTAATGAGTACTTGTTGGGCAGAAGGTATTTGAAGTAGTGGCTTTGAGAGGAGGTTTTTCAAAATGCAAGATAGACGGACCCTCTTGAATGTGGTTTCTCCACTGCCACCAGTGCTCTGCAGCAGCTTCACTGTCCTGTCTGTCCCAGAGTTTAGAAGGAAAAGAACGAAGTACTAAAATGTAGATTGTACTGGGAGTGGTTGTGCTGGAGATGGGTTGTTGCTGCTTCTGAAGCAGTCAGCACTTTTCCTCTTTAAGAGTACTTATATGTATCAAAGAGCCTTGGCTTTAATAGCTTTATTTGTGGAATTACATATGCTGATGTGAGATAAGACCAGATTCTCCTGTGCTTAATGTATGTATGTGGCGACTTGAAATATGAACTCCATCTTTGCAGAGCTGTTGTTACTAATAGCTTAGTTCTGCTTTCTCATTTTGTCCTGTCTTATAGGTATTTTTAGTCTGAGAAGGGCAGACTTATTTCTGACCCAATTACACAGAAGTCTTTTTAAAAAATCAGTCACTGAATCATGACAGATGAACTAATAATGCTTGTACATATTTTGTTTCTGTATTTCTCCCCAAATTTTATATAGGGAATATTAACACAGTTTTCTTCCAATAAAATGTATGGAGGTTGAGAGCTATAGGGAGAGTACGTGTCTATCTAGATTAAAGCACCATATGCTAGCATTATATTTGTTTTCACAAACATTTGACTAGTACAATTGTTTACATGGAAAAGCAGTTTTATGAAAACATTTTACTGCACTATATTTAACTGCTATTATTTGGCACGAGGTACAGCTATAAATACTGAAGAAAATGTGGGCAGTTGCATGAAAAATACTTCTGATTTTAAAAAGTAGGCAACAACAATGCTTTGGACTGCTGTTAAATCAGTTTTTATCTCTGTTTCTCATACCCTTTCCCTTTCTTTTTCTAGGTGCATTTTACCTGGTATTTGAATATATGGACCATGACTTGATGGGACTGCTAGAATCTGGTTTGGTTCATTTTAATGAAAATCATATTAAATCTTTTATGAGACAGCTGATGGAGGGCTTGGCGTATTGCCACAAGAAGAACTTTTTGCACAGAGATATCAAATGTTCAAATATTCTTCTAAATAATAGGTATGGATATTACTTAAAAGTCTGTAACAAAAATTGTCTGTTAACATCTTTAAGTCCTTCTTTTAATCTTCAGAGTTCACCTGCTTTGAGTCATTAGCAAAACTTATTTTTTAGATTTCCTAGTTTCTTCCAAATCAATTGCAAAATACTAATATGGTAATGTTCCTGCTTAACACCGGGTCCTGCAACTATGTGTTAAATTTATATGTGTTAAAACAGCAGGATTGAAACTCGAGTCTTTTAAATCAGAGTATTGGGGGAAAATTATCTGAGTTCAAATATATTAAAACAGAATTGTAAGACAGAAGCATTTGATATGTATTCTTTTTGCCATCTCGTTTCAAGATGGAAATGTGGCTGGTTCTTTGTGACATAATTCTGAGGTCCTCATCTTCATCAGTCAGGATAATGCTTTAAAAAGTATTCAGTTAGGCGTGTTCAAATGTACCTTGGGTTTGCAATTGTAACTACAATCAAATGGGGAGAAGGATTTGTTTCTTACTACTTTAACACCTTGTAATTACAAATCTTATTACTAACCTTGCTGCTTTTGGTGTGCAGCAGCAGCAAATAAAAGGCCGGTGTGAAGGTAGTGGACAACTTTTTTACAAACTGTTGTACATCAAACCCTGCAGTACTAAATCCAGGAAGCAACTATAAGACCAAGGTTTATAACAGCAAAAAAGAGTGTTGTTACAGAGCAGGTAGTCAGTCAGCTTCTGGGATTTGTTGTCACAGGAGGTTTTCTGGGTAGTGTCAGGAGTTTCAAAAAGATGATACACATTCAAGGGATAGGATCATTAGGACCTGGTAATAAGAATGGACAGGGACCTGTTTTACCATCCTTAGCACAATGATTGTGGGTGGTGGTTAAGTAAAAAGAAGATGAGCCCTAAAGGGAGTGGGTTCATGTGTTCTCCCTAAAAATCTACTGCTGCTGTTGGAGATGAAATACTGGGCAAAATGGATCTCTTTTGGTAGGACCCTAGTTTTTTTCCCAGCTTTCTCCAAATTAAATTTTCCATTTTCCCCTCCTTTTTCCCATAGAGCAAACTAACATTAGATTATTTTCAACTCTGGATCTTAGCACAGTCTTGCCAGATTATGATACAGACTTTTGAACAGATGTACATGTTCCTCCCCATCACTCATTGTGCCCGTACACCTAATCTTATTGCCTGCTGATCTCCAGGGTTTGTGCACCTTTGGGAACTCAGAAGCTGAGGTGTAACCTGACAGTGGAGAAGAGTGAATTATGGTAGAGGAGGAGCTTGGTATTTTACTGTGCTCCCTCCAGTCCAGGATACAGAGTTTTGGGGTTTTTTCCCCTGAGGATATTTTCTGAGCATCCTTAGATGTTTCCACTGGTAGAAACAAAATTCAGTAGTTGATCTGAATAATTTTAAGCCAGTGTTTCTAAAATTGCATTAGTAGTTACAGCCTGAAGCCAAACACATGGATTATGTATCTTTTAGATATGCAACTTCAACAAATTTTTGAGCAAAGACATTCATCTTCCACAAATAACCTCTCTGAGGAATAAGCATATATATTTGAGGGGAACATTTCTTTGTTTATGGGGGTTCTTCAAGTGTTACAGCAAATCTGAGTATACATCTGAGGAAAAAAGTGGATGGAAACTGTAATGTATATTTTATTATCACAAAATTGTCATTCTTATGCACATCAGCAAGTCTTGCCCTAATTTGATAAAGTAATATGTATTTGGAAGTAATGGGAATTATAAAAGCTTATGAGTATTGAAAAGCAAACTCAGGTATAACAGTCCAACATTCATTTAGAATGTATTAGAGAAGCTCGCAGATAGCTTTCTGTTTAAATCATCCAGACTTTACAGGGGGGTTCTGGTCATTGAGCAGTACCTTTTAGCTGTGGGAACTGCCAGGCAAGAGCTCTGTATCTTCTACTCTTCCCCTCGTATATGGGAAAACTCAGGAATGGGTTAGGGGTTGTGTCATTCAGCAAGTTGGCTGTTGGCAAAAATAGAAGCTCTTATCTTGTCAGTCACCCTGATTTTAAGGCTGTATTTAAACTGTACAAGAGCAGAACAGGACTTTGTGGCTTCCTAGAAGGACGTACAAATGCTCGTGTTGTACAAATGCTCATGCTAGCATGGCAGTAAGCCATGAGAAAATAGCAGTTTCCTCCCTCTGTTTTTTTTCCTGCAGATTTATTGACTGGAATACACCTAAATTTTTACTAACATTCACTGATGTAAATGCCATTTGATGAGCATACCTAATTTTGCTTACTTGTCTTTCCTAATCAGTATGTTAGTGTATTTGTTTACTGAAGAAACGCACAGATTGCAAGGCATTGCCTCTTTGTAATGTGGTTTGGTGAAGATCACTTGCAGTCTTAAACTTTACCTGATTTGGGAGAGGAAATCTCAACAGGATTAACCACTAAATAATTCTTTGCTTTTTCCACCAGAGGGCAGATAAAGCTTGCGGATTTTGGGCTTGCTCGGCTGTACAACTCTGAAGAAAGGTAAGATACAATTATACTGTGAAAAAGAATTCAGAAGTTTAATCTTTCTGCATAACTCTACTATGGGCGCCAGAACACTGTTTTGTTTAGAGGAAATCTTATTGTACTGTAATACCTTAGGAAATTTAAAGAAGTGCACATTGTCTTGCACTGCATAAAACCACAGAAGTCTTTGTGCAAGTGTATTGCTTTTCCAGGCGTTCTGGATAAATAACTGTAGAGAGTGGCCATATATTGACTGGAAATTAAGAGTTACAGTCCTAGGTTTCTGGTCCTGTAAACCTAAAGTATATTTTTTCTGTTGATATACTGAAGACTTTATTTAGGGAAAGCAAATTTTTTTTTTGCTGGCACAAAGTAGTAATACTGTTTCCTATTCAATGAGCATTACTTTTGTGTGAGATGTAACCTTACATTTGAAGAGGTTCATTGTACTCCTTAGGCAGTCAGTGATGTTGAATCTGCTGGAAACAGCGATACAAGTTTAAATAAAAGTTATCCTGAAACTTCCTGTGACTTGTGCTTCTGTTGTGCTTGGCTTCATTATACTCATACTCCAGGAAACAGGTGCACAGTTTCTTATGATTAAGAACTTCTGTATTTACTTTGTAATGTATTTCTCATGTGGAACTGAGTTTTCACAATTCAAGCTGAATGTTCACTACACTAGTATGTACATGAGGTGGTTGGATACCTCAGCTTGCTTTGATTTCTGCATGCTAATTTGGGAAATAATATCAATAATGTTAGCTTTATGGGTTTATTGTTTTCTCACAGAGCTCTTGGCTTGTTGATGAACCTGATAGCCTTAGTTTCACTGTATTCTGAGCTGTCATTTCAGGAAAATATGCTTAAGTAGAGTTATGAAAACTGTTCAGTATAGTAGCAGGGTACGATCATCTTAAACAGCTGCTGCCTAATTATTTTTTGGGTTTGGATGTACTTATAATAAAAGGTTTGATGTTATCCTATCTTCTTGTTTTAACATGCACCAAATTGACCTAATGGTTTGGTTTTTTCCTCTGGTTTACCATGTTTTGTTTTTTTTAATGTCTGTTTTTAAATGAATTTACATTTTGCTTGTAAAACTCGCTGATAATTAAGATTTGAAAATTCAGCATCTTTATAGTCCAAATAACAGGTTTTACTGTGCATCAAACAACAATATTACACCATTATGCATAAATGAAACCAAGATTAAAATGTAATTAAGCTAGCTAATAGAATTGCCAGTTGAACTTGGGAGGATAACTAGAATCTCATTAGTAGATTTTTGACAATTCTTTTGTCATTCATTTCCCTCCTAAGTAGTTTCTGACCTGCAGTAACAGACATAATTAATGTATACCAACAAGTGTATAATAGCTGCTACTTTAAATTCATGTATTTTGCATTTGATTTCCTATTGTTTGGAATTTAATACTGTTTAAAAGGGTACAGAATTTAGTAGGAGCATAACGGGGAGGAAATAAAAATTTAAATAAATTCCCATTGGTTGTTGTAGTTGTGCTCCTTTAAGTGTTATTCTGGTGGATTAAACATGTTTGGAGTAGGAGATACGACAGATTGCATGAGAAGACATCTGTTCAAATAAAGAGCACCATATACTAATATATATGAGCAGTATATCTGTAGAGAAAGTCCATACCATGTAAACATTTCAAAGAGGAATGCTTGCTTCAGAGATAAATATGATAAATGATGGGATTGTTTCCAAAAACATCCTACATTTTTAAAATGAATTGTGGAGTTTGTTAATGAAAAAAATACTCAGATGATTTTGGAGAAATGATGCCTGTACGACTGAGTATGTTGTAAGAGCTTGTTGGACTTTCTTCTATGGTCGTTCATACTCCACAATTAATATTACTGTGCTTTCTGTTTGGAGTTACTTGATGTTAGTAAGAGTGAATTATTAAAACTGAAAGAATTCTGGGTTCACTTTTAAAACACCCTTGCTGAAACAAAACCTAAAATTGAACATCTGTTTTCTACTTTTCATTCTGGACTGTTGATACTGTATCTCAGCCTGTGCACATAAAAAATGTGTGTCTAAGATAGTGGAAATCCTTCCTTCAGTGGGAGGGTAGAAAGGATTATTCCCAGTGACCGGAACTTCTGGTTAGAGCTGTAGAGAATTAAAGATGTTGTGAAATATAGGAAGATATTGGAAGCATTCCAGGCTTTGGAATCAAAATTGTTGAAGGATGTAGTTCCAGAAAAAGGCTGTGTATCTCTTTTACTCCTACTTAAAGAGGGAAAAGTGACTTTTTTTCTTCTTTTTAAAATGTTCGTAGAGGTCTTATATTCAGTATGCTAATAATCAATATTTGCTTGGAAATTATTAGTGTAAATATACAGTGTTGCTCTCTGAATAGTAATTGAGATACAGGATTCACATAGCATCGAGATGACTGTGTGATTATTATTTATATTTTCAATCTGGCCTTTGATAGCCTTGGTCAAACAGTTGCATTTGCCTTTGTGCAGTTACTGCTTTGCAGGACTGAAATTAAGAGTGGAAGATTGTACAGCATCACAAAGTCCTTAAGGTATCACTTTTTCAGAGGTGAGATGGTAGTAAAATGATAGTTCTCTCTTTTTCCTCCCCCCAACAGCCGACCATATACCAACAAAGTTATTACGTTATGGTATCGGCCCCCAGAACTTCTGCTCGGAGAAGAAAGATACACACCAGCTATCGATGTTTGGAGCTGTGGGTAAGAGTTTGGACAGAAGTGTAGCAAGGACAAAAACAAGCTAAAAATAAATCTTAAATGTTTCTATTAATCTATATTAAAAGCCATAATGATGGAATTATGCAAAACTGTTTTACAGCTGCATCCTGGGTGAACTTTTTACAAAAAAGCCAATATTTCAAGCAAATCAAGAACTTGCACAGCTGGAACTCATAAGGTAACTTGCAAGCACTGACCCATAGTAGGTGCCTCATAAACTGACAGGTTTCTTTTGTTGGTGTTAAAATCGGAGATAATGCACTGTGAATGTTCTCCAGTACTCATGTTATTGCCCTTAGTGAGATGTTAGAGGTTCTGAAGGGTGTGTAAAGCAAATGGCTTTTGCACAGACGTGGAGAAAGGGGTTTTTTTGTGAGTATTCTGTGCTCCTAGCAATGTACAGTTGATTAGTAAGAGAGTTTTTTGTAGAACGACTGGAATTGCCTGTTACTGAAGTTGTAAAGAGAGAGTAATCAAAATGCCCATTATTTTTTAAGATGATGTTGCAACTTCCTTGCAGCAAATCAAAATAAGAACATGGAAAATAATAAGGACAAGTGGTATTTGAGAGGAGTAGGTACTTGGCATGCTGCTGGCCTTGAGTTCTTGTTTCAAACCTACCACATACACACCTGGGCTTTATTATTTTTGTGGAAATATTTCTGTTCCCTTACAAACCACTAAACACTTGGTGGAGGTAAAAATTTTGTTCCTTTCCTTGTTCTCAATAAATCACAGAATGATAGGTATTTAACTCAGTGGAACCAGAGCATCTTTTTTCTTTCCCTTCTTTTTGCAAGTAAAAATTGCTCGATTCTGATGTCATAATTCATCTTATAAACAGGGAGAGGTCTTTTTCCTAGAAACAAGGGGGAAAGTTCTACGGAACTTAGAGAACCTGAACAGTAAATGTTCCACATTATTTTAAAAATTACCTTAATAAAAAAATATTACAAAGTTATATATTGAAATGTTTTTCAAAACAGATTGAACAGTAGCATGTTTCTGTGTAAAGTGTTATTAGCCAGCCTGGACAAATTAAGTTTTTTAGGAGGTGCAGAGCATATCAGTGGTCATTTTCGGTGTAAGGAGAGTTAAACTCCTAACTTGGGGAAATTTTGCTTTTGAGCACTAGATGGCATTGAAGAATGTTACAATGAGTCATTTGAGGGTTTTTTTTCTTTGTGTTGTACCTCTGGTACAGAAAACTAAAACTTTGTGGTTCCCTTCTGCTGGAAGCATCTGCATTTTTCCTCTTTATTGCTGCTATGCATTTACTTTAATGTTCAAAGGTAGAGCTGAAGTAAAATCTCATAGGAAGAGATAGATGTGTTATTTGTCTTTTCCCTCCTGAAAATTACATACCCCAAACAGTGTAAAGTCAGATTGGTTTGCATAGCATTTGAGGCGTGACTAATAGATCATTAGTTCTCTTACACTAACGGTTTAAATCTGGTAAATAGGAGGGCTGAACTAGGGAAATGTTTTTGCAAAATGTCCTTTTATGATTGCCTGCATCAGAGTTTAAAGCCTTGAGTGTATGAAAATGCCGCCTTAGTTCTTCTGCTCAGAAGTGTGATGTTGATCAATCTGTGCTTAGCCATCCTTTGTTGGATAAAATGGGTGGGGATGGAGTGGTAAGAGTAAGACTGTGGGCAACTATTTGTGGACATAAATGAGGCTTGACACATAAAACTCATAACTGAAGTAAAAAATACAGATGTTTTCTAGTGGTCAAATCTTGCTTCTGCCTTGAGGCCTTACTGAGATTTTTTTTTCCCCTTTATGTGTTCAGTGTTAAATAAATTCTCAGTGAAAAGTGGGTTTTCAGCCATTTGGTATATTGTCAGTGGCATTGGGAGCTAAGGACATAAAAGTTATTCGAACCATGGGTTATCCAGTTCAAGTCAAATACCCAGAGTCCTGTTCAGACATAGTGAAGGATGTGTGGGCTGGGCTGAGGCAGAAACAGTAAGTTTAGTTTGGGCGGGGTGATTACCCTTTGTAGACAATTCTCCATTATTTAATGTGTTGAGCATTTGACAGTAGAGAAATTTTAGCTAAAAATAACCTGAGCATTAAAATTGGAAATTATTTTGGTTTTCACTGTACATGCAAGAACAAAATGACAGCTGTGCTCATTTGTGGGTTTGGATCTCATACCCTTTTTTCCCTTCTTTTTGGTACAGCCGAATTTGCGGGAGTCCTTGTCCAGCAGTGTGGCCCGATGTTATAAAATTAGCTTATTTCAACACAATGAAACCAAAGAAGCAGTATCGTCGAAAACTGAGAGAAGAGTTTGCTTTGTAAGGATGAAGAATTAATTTAGTCAACTGTAATAGCATTAAGTTTTCCTGGAGACGTTATGAACTTCAGTATTTTCCAGAGAATGAGCATAGATCAAGTGTAAAGCAAAAATGGCTTTAGGTTCTTGTCCTTCCCATGATACCCACAGAGCTTGTATTAACCCTTATTTAATAGGAACTTGAAGAAGAGAAAAGAAGGCCCTAAAATTTCAGCCACCTGTCAGCTTTCACCTAAGGAAACATTTGTTTTCCATGATTGGTACACCTGCTTGTTGCCCTGTCCAAAAAAATTGATTGTTATTTATTAGTATAACTGGCTACAGCTGAATATGCGATCTGGTTAACATTACAGTCTTTTGGGTCATAAATCATTCAACACAGAGGAGTTATCTGAACTATATGTTCTAAAGTACTACCACTGGACTAGTTTTGTGCAAATATCACAAGTGAAAGTTATGGAAAACAGCTGTAAGCCTGTTTTAAAGGGTTTGTTCCCCTCCTTCAGGTACTGTGGGTTTCTGGAGAAATGCATCATCTGTTCATACTAATGAAACTAATATCTTTAAAGCAATAAAATTATTATCCGTGGACCAATCAGAAGTGCAACTCCCTGGGTGCTAAATTCCAAAGTGGACAGTAACACAGTCTTGGCTTAAAAACTTTGGGGTGTTTTTATGTAAGGACAATGTTTAAACAATTAAACAACACAAAGCAAAGAAAGCTTATGTTATATGGTTGCACAGGTAGTAAAAGGTGAAGTTTATTTCTACTTCTTGCTACCATACTCAGGTTGTGAGTGGATTTTGTTAATATGTAAGTTATTTGAGGAGTTAATGATCAGTTATCTTGGAAGGGATGTGTTTCTTAAAATTTTGTGCGGAAGTGTATGATACAAAGTAAAAATACAATGCTTTTCTCCATTTTGCACTTTTGTAGCATCCCACCAGCTGCATTAGATTTATTCGATTATATGCTTGCTCTGGATCCCAGCAAACGCTGCACAGCTGAACAGGCTCTTCAGTGTGAATTTCTGCGAGATGTGGAACCATCTAAAATGCCTCCTCCAGAGTAAGTCATTTGCACTGGTAATGGTCCTTACCTCTATGGAATGAGAATGTGCACTGATTTCATTAAGCTTATTATGTTTCAGTTAAATTAGATGGTGGTAGAACAAAAACATTGGTATATACAGTTGTTGAATGGTGATTCTGCAGTAGAATGGTTGTGCTGCTGAGTGACTCTTACACTGTGATAGCTGTGCTTGTGAGCATCTGAGAAGTTTCATTTGTCTTTCCTAGAACTAGTTACTGATTTACTTCCTTTAAAGAAATACTCTTCTGTGAATGTTTCTAATGTTTAGAAAACATCATTCCCCTTTTATCTCTGTTTATCGGTGTCTACTTTTTCCAAGGGTTTTGAAGTCCTCCATGAATCTGAATTGCCTTCTTTGATGGTAGAATGACACTGGGTATAGAATTCTACAAAGGTACCTGAGAGTTAAAGTGAAATACCATAAATTGTTTCCTGAGCCAGATTCTTGGTTTTACAGGCAGGAAGAATGAAATACTTTGTGCAGGATTTTTCCTGTCAGTTTCTCTGAGGGCAATGTACTGCAGTGTCCAGTAGGATTTTGGCAGTGACCTAATCATCATTTTAATCAGTAGAAATCTTATTGAAACAGGCCCTGAGGAAAACAATGAGAAGGTATTACAGAATCTGCAGGTCTCAATTCTTTCCTCAAGATAGCTGTCAGAACATAGAACGTTCAATATTGTTTGAGTAAATTGAACCTTCAAGGCAGCCTATACTGATTTCTTTTTAATTAGTTACCAACTGGAAAAAATGTTTGCATTTTATCTAAGGAGTTTATTAAAACTCTTTCAAGACTTACCTGTTACATACACATGGTTGTTACACAGAATCATAGAATGGGTAAGGTTGGAAGGGATCATAGTGGGTCATCTGGTCCAACCTCCCTGCTCAAGCAGAGTCATCCTAGAACACAGAATTATGTCCAGGTGGTTCTTGAATATCTCCAGTGAGACTTCACAGCCTCTCTGGGCAAATGCTACTAATGCTCCTGAAACATGATTCATTACCTGAATATGACTATATCACTGTGTGAAAATCAGAAATTAGCAATCTTAGGCTGTTTGCTGAGTCTCAGAACCACTTGTACAGAATGTTGCTTTATGTGCATTTTAAAGTAAGTGAATGGGAAGAATTTTTATTCTTCAGGGATGTGGTAATGCATCCATTCTAGAAGCTGATATATGGTAATTCAAAACAAACTAGTCATTGGTGTCCTTTTAAAAATTAAGAAGAACTACAGTCACTTCTGACAGCGTGCACAGGAAAGTGTTGACTGTTCTCTTGAAAGACTGAAGTTCTCTTTTGGGAAGAAGCAGCTGTTCATTCAAAGAAAGTGACAGTGCTGATTGCAGGGATGGTAGGATACTTCTCGCAATGAGTTCTTGCTTACTTCCATTTGTTTTTCAGAAAATACTTGGCAGGTCTTTGACCTGCTGTGTGGAGAGAGAGTAAAGCAGTTGTCATAATTGCCTTTCCAGTGTCTCTTGTCATCTGTCACCTAATTTTTCTATGTTCCTGGGTGACAGAACAGCTAAGACAGTTACTAATATGTAATAGGAAAACATAAAACACTGTTTTTACTGCCTGTTATTTATGAATGGGTCTTCGTGTTCCATAGGAAATCAAAATTGAGCTGCCTGCAGGAAACTGTAATGGAAGGACAGAATTAGTGGCCGATGAGTTCCTTAGGAGACTTTTGTCTCTGCATCTGTCTGTCTTAAAGGATCGAGACATCCCTTGTTCTTCCTAGTATCTCAGTTTTGCTAGTGTTAAGTGCTATTTATTCATGCAACTTATTTCTGCAACGTTTTTCTTTTTTTTCCCTATGTTTTTTGGCCGGCTGTGCTGTACACTATAAATACTACATTGCCGTGTCTGTTATTGTGGACAAATATTTGACCTAATGAGACAGCAGTACTTTTACCAGTGGACAGAAGGACCTTGAAAAAACCACTTGCATATTGATAACTTTGTCATCTGTTACTATGTGAATTGTATTTCATAGCAAGTGTGCAGCATCGATTTTGAAGTCTTGAATTACACAAATAATTAGGCTTTTCTTAAGTATGAGTTCAAGAAAATAACATTCTCATTGTAAGATACGCATTCCCCTTTTCTGCTAGAAGGACTTGTGCTTCTGAAATAGGCAATCAGTGAAGAGATTTTAGCCAGAAAAAGCAGGTCTCAGATTTTGCTGGCTTTTGAGTGTTTTCTGATGTATATCTGAGTTCTAGTAGGTTCATCTTTCAGAAGTTACATTATGTATAACTCAAATATTTATTTTACCAGTATGGTTAAAAAAAAATAGTTCTGGGATAAAACTGATTATCTCTAATCATTCTTTGCAGCCTTCCTTTATGGCAAGATTGCCATGAGCTGTGGAGTAAGAAACGCAGAAGACAGAAGCAGATGGGCATGACTGATGACTCAACAGCAGCTAAAGTCCCTAGGAAGGATCTATCCCTAGGCATGGATGAGAGCAGAACCAACACCCCACAAGGCATGCAAACTTCTTCCCAACTCAAAACTCAGGGCAACTCTAGTGTAGCACTTGGTCAGTAATATTTTCAGTTCTTATAATTACCTTCTACTTGGATTGCACCTCTAAAAATTTTAGATGTTATTTGCAGAGTATTGACGTCTCCTGGATTCTTGAGGGAGTAACAGTATTGTAAGTTAAATCTTTGTTACAAAAGATTTACCTTTGCTTTTGGAAACTTTTCAGTTTTACCTAATTTTTCAGTCTGGTCAGAGCAACTACCTTGCTTGCTCTGTATTTTGAGAGAATTTTAGCTCTTGCTCATCTGTAATTCTTTTGTGATTCCACAAGCCAGTAGCTGTTCAAAGTTCCTCACAATCTCCATAGATTGGAGAAGTGTTATTGGTATTGATAAATGGATCAGAAGGCAGAGTTTAGAACAGTCATCATTTCAAATGGAACAGAATCCATCTGCATGTTATGATAGTCTTCAGCTTTCCAGGTTGTTGGGGCTGAACCAAGTTGTAGAAAAAATAAACACCAAAAACCACCCCCAGAACGTCATATGCCATGAAGTATCTACCTCTGTAGATTGCACAGCCATTAATTCTGAAACTTAACTAGAGTATCTTGCTTGAGACCAGTTTTATGAATATAATAAGAAAAGTAATGGACTATATGGACTCCATTTGAGGTAGTCAGCAGTTTAGTGATAGTTCTCTTACGCTATGTAGAAATACACAGAGTAACAACACCAAATGGATACCTGACAAGATTAATTTAGACCATTTTTGACTGTGCAAAGTGACCGTAAATCCTATGGCATTGATACAGGAGTTCAGCTGAAAAACAAGCAGTTAATGCACTCATAGTACCTGAAAATTCTTTAATACTAACCATCTTGAATCAACTCTTAATTTAACGGTAGAGCAGAGGTCCAAATAATCTGTGCCAAGATATATAGAAAATGGTCATTTCGATAATACTTTATTGTTTAAGTCCATGCTGCTTCGCTTCTTTCAAAATAAACCACCACAACAGCTGTTTGAAGCTAAGAAACTGCTTTGATATCCCAACCTCCTTATTCATGTTCCCCTGCATCATCATAATCTCCTCTTATTTGTGTCAAACTCCCTTTAAATGAAGAAACTGTATTCATTACGTATTTCTTGGTACTAAGTGATGGACTTCTCATCCTTCAAGCTCAGCACTTGCTTTTGCATTTATACCCTGAGCTCCTGGGCCATCTAGATCCTGGTCGCTTGTGCAGGTCTTAGAACCCAGATGCTGAATTAGAATGGGCCAGAATATGACTGGAAATGCATTTTGCAGATGGCTACTTTTTAAAGGGATGTGATATGTCTAAGATAGGAAATTTTACAGGGATTGGATATCTTACAGCTGCCTGAAGCAAGTGGCCTTAAGCCCCAGCTTAGTTGTATTGTAGAAAATTGAGCTCCAGCTTGATGTTTTTCCATCTGTCCAAGTGCATGTGTGCACCTCATGGAAGTCAGTTTCTTTATATTGGATCTTACTATTCCATTTCCTCTAGATACTCCCCCAAAGGCAGTTAATATGTAAAAGCATTCCATTTCTATGTTGTCCAAACCCATGCTTCGCCTGTTGTGTCAGCTATGCTAGATTAGTCTTCTTTTGAGTTTCTGAATTATGCAAGTTCTAAATAATACTTAAAAACACCTTTTTTGTCTTTAGCGAAAACAAGCACTGGACAGCAGTTAAACCAGAATGAAGTGGCAATCCTGCTAAACCTGCTACAGTCTAAAACAAGTGTTAGTTTGGCACAGTTTGCCCAAGTATTGAATATTAAGGTAAACCCAGAGACTCAGCAGCAACTAAATAAAATAAATCTTCCTGCTGGAATTTTGTCAGCAGGTGAAAAACAGTCAGAACAGCAGCAGCAGCAGCCGCCGCCGCCTCCGCCACCCCCGCCAGAGCAGGAGCCTCTAAAACAGCAGATCGTCACCCAGCCTCCTGTGCCACCTGCGCAGCTGGGCCAGCCTAAAGTTGAGACTGATGCTGCCCAGGCAGCTGTGCAGAGTGCATTTGCTGTTCTGTTGTCTCAGTTAATAAAGGCTCAGCAAACAAAACAAAAAGATTTTGTGTTGGAGGAGAAGGAAAACGGATCAGGAAATGAAATGTCATTACAACTCAGGCAGCCTCCAGAGCCCTCCACTCCTGCATCTGTCAGCCGGGACGACGTGGAATCTCCAGCACCTGGCTACCCACATCTGATCAAATCATTATATATGTCTGCAGGTACTGAAGGCCTTTATTGCTAACCAGCAAATACTTTAAGCACTGGAGGTGTAATAGTTTGGGGTAGAGAATTAACACGTTTGCCATATGAATCTGTGTGAGTATTGGAGATTAAATTGATTTTGTCACGTTTTATGTCTGGATCATAGAATTTGTGTCTTAGTGTAACAGGTGCCGTGCAGACAGAGCAAACAATGTTCCCCACGCTAAGAGGTACACAAGTATTAGTGATGAAACACTGATCATTATTCTGGGGGGCTGGGGTTTTCTTAGTGGTGTGTGTGGTGGAGAAGACAGTCTTCTCTAGCAGATGCATTAATGGAATTTGCCAGTTTTGACTGTGTGTTTAGGTAAAGCATATTTTGGTGAGAGGATATTTTATTTTGGGGTTTCAGTGCTGACTAGAGCAATTGCTTAGTGTCAAATTCTATAAGTGGCTATTTGTAACTGTTGCACACATGGCTAAAGGTTTCCATTGCAGTACAGTCGAGGCTTCCATACTCTTCTCACTGTTTAGAGCTCTGTTCATCTTTTTGGATTGCTATTTCAGTTTCCGTTATATGGTGATGTATGTACTGCTTTGTGGTTTGCAGCTGTTGAAAGAAATATTCTGAAGTGCTTGGGGCTGTTTTCTGAGGGTTTTTGGGGTTTTTTTTTGAGTGGTATGCTTTTTTGTTCACGATTTTTTTTAAACCTAGAGCTTTGCTGTTCCTTGATAGGGTGGCCTTTTGTCCCTTGAGACTTTTATCCTATTTGTGAATCTTTCCTGATCCCTCTTTGAATTTTCTAGTGTTTACATGTTGCTTGAGTTTTGTTTCGGTTATTTGGTTTTGGTGGGGTGTTTTTAGGGAACTCTTACTATTTTTCTTTAACTGCTTGCTGGTAATCTTACTTGAAGGAGAAATCTGCATCATGCTCCTGAGGCAAATGAGCTGTTGCCAAATTTTGTTCTCCAAAATAATTTGTATAACTACTGATAAATTTAACTAATAAGTTAATGGGAATTGAAGTAACAAACCTCTGTTTTTCCAGGAAAGTCCTTTCCTTTCTGGTACTGTTACTGTGTGTTTTTATTCCAAAGCTTTTCTTTTTCATCTTCTTAGGTCAAGAGGATTTGGTTAGGCAGTCTGAGATGAGGCTTCTAAACCGAACACCCGAACAGGAGCGCCCTCGGATCCTGCCTCCAGATCAGCGTCCCCCCGAGCCACCAGAGCCTCCGCCTCTCACTGATGAAGACCTTGATTATCGGACAGAGAATCAGCATTTGCCTATAACTAACTCTTCAGGAACAGATCCTCATGCAGGAGTGAAAGCAGCTCTTCTGCAGCTGCTTGCTCAGCATCAAGCTCAGGCGACAACAGAGGAGCCAGTACAAACGAGTGTGGATTATCAGGCTAGAGACTCCTATGTTACAGGCCCAGACTACAAGGATAACTTTGGATCATCGTCTTTTTCATCTGCCTGTTACAGCAGTAGCGATGGAATAGGAAGTGGATCATCAGGAGTATTAGAAAGGAGGAGTTTCCTTGGAAACTCAGATATTCAGTCTTTGGATAACTACAGTACTGCTTCATCTCACTCTGGTGCTGCCCCTCCTCCATCAGCCTTTTCAGAATCCTTTCCCAGCTCAGTAACTGGTTATGGAGACATTTACCTCAACACTGGCCCCATGCTATTTAGTGGAGATAAAGACCATAGGTTTGAATACAGCCACGGCCCAATCCCGGTTTTGGGGAGCAGCAGTGATGCCTCCACAGGGCCAGAGAGTACACACTCTTTGCCCTCAAAGATGCACAACTATAGCTATGGAAGTAATTTGCAGGAAAACCCCAGTGGCATCAGCCACATGCATGGACAGACTTGGACTTCTCCTGCCCAAGGACCTGGCTATTCTCAAGGATACAGGGGACACATTAGCACATCTGCAGTGAGAGGGCGAGGCAGAGGATTACCATATTGAGTATCTGTTTTTCCTCAGGCACACCATTTTTATCTGGAAAAACTTTTTTTCCCCCCCCTTTAGCTGCAGTTTAAAGCAGCAATTCAACAGACTTGAATAATGTTAATTCAACAGCTTTATTTTTATGTGGAAAAGGGTCTTGCATACAGTAGGAAAAATTAAAAAATGCTTACAACTCATGTTGTCTGAAAACTAGATAAATTGATTGTACATGTTCACAAACTCTAGTTCTGAATTTTATTTTGTATTTTGGCAGTTTTAAGTGGATGCTAAATTTAGGGACATCAGCTTTTTATGGCACTCTTTCAGATCTTCTGAACTATGCACATTTGTGCTTTTTTTGTAAGTTTGGACCAACTTTTATGTAAAAAAAAAGGAAATTTTACAACAATCAAAGCAGGGCACTGATTTATTTGGTATTTTTCTTTTTACAGAACTACCTTTAGTCAAAGGTCACTGTCAGTCTTTGCACTGCTTTCAGTGTTATTGTGGAAGGTGTACTTTGTGCTCATTTCAGATAATAAAACACAACCTTTCTCTCGATGCAAAATTTTATAAATATTTGGTCAATGTTTTTTTTTTTTTTCTTTCAAGAAAAAAAAAGAATGGATGTTCTGGTAAAATGTCCATCTCCCAGGCTTGTTTATATAAAAACTGTTTTACTTGAATGGTAAGTGCCTTAACATGTAAGCTTAAGGTCTGCAAAAATTTGGAAGTACTTTATAGATGAGTATGAACATAATGCCTAAACCTCGGTAGTTAACAAGAGAATTCAGATAATAATAAGAAACTCAAATAGGTCATAACCTTGTGCTGTTTACTTTACATGGGCCAGTTACTTAGAGACCTGATCTTACCTTGGTGAAATCGTAATTTCCAAATTGAACTTCATGAGAAACATAAAAAGTGAGGAGAAGAATGAAGAGTGTAGTTTTTCCTCAGCTCCCTCTTGGAGTTGTTGTGTTTTAGTTCCTCTGCCAAATAAACTATACTTCGTATGTCCTTACCAAGTGATAAAATAGTTTTTTCTCTTAAATGTCAATAGCAGTAATTACTTTACTTTGTGTGGAAAGCTGACATTCTTGTCTTTTTACCACAAGTACTTCATTGTAGAAAGTAACCAAAGGAAAAATGACCAGTATTTAAAGCAACAGCAAAACGTTTGACATTAGTTCTAATTCTCTGTAAACTTGTAATTGTGCCAATTAATTGATTTTTATATCTGCTATTCCACGGAACAGTTTAATATTGGAATTGAGTCTCTCTGAACAACTGATAAAATTATTATAGTTAAAACTCTTATCAAGAGCCACTCCTCATACTAATTACAACTTCCAGCATGTTTTTTTCCTTCCTTTGACAAGTGGTCTCTCTCCCGCAGAGAGGAGGTATGGTTATATTTTGCCTGTACGTAAAAGAATGTTTTGAAGCCCATATTGGAAACAATTTTCCAACTGATTATCCAGTTGACAAATCGGTACCTTATGTAACTGAGTGTTTAAATATTACTTTTTAAAAAAAAGTAAAATTTCTACTTACACTATTACAAACGTAGTCTTGTCAGTGACTTTTTGGATTTTCAGAGTAGAAGCCAAAGCTGTTGGTGTTTTGTCTTGATTGAAAATCCTGGTTCCTATATGGCTAAATCCCACCCTGTGGAGCGTGGAGAAACTCACTTCGCTAACTACGTAGTGTTTGAGGATCTGGCAAATGGGGAGCAGAGAGAGCGTCCTGCTGCCTACGGTGTCCCTACAAGTCTGGCAGTTGCCTTCACTAGACACAGTAAAAAAAAGTCCTGGGATCTGAAAATATAAGTGGCCAGGTCAGAAATAAATACTTATGACCTGAGTAGCCTGTGCTTAAGAAAAGCAAAAGTTTCATGTGAATGACAGTGCATTGGATAGTTTTCCTTGAGTAAGGACACCCTCGTAGCATTTTTCTGCTAGTAAAATTATAAAGACAAAAATCATTAGTGTCGTTTAGATATGGACAGTGTCAGCTAAGGCTCTTTGTTTACTAATCTTTAAAAAACCCAGTCCCACAGAGATACACAGATTGTTGCCTTTTTTTTTTCTTTCCAGAATCAAGCAAAGGCCTTTCAAAGCTTTTAGGCAGTTACTTACACTGAAAGTGTGCACTCTGGGGTTACTCACCTGCAGTGTGACTGCGGGTGATAGTTGGCCTAAAGTGCAGGTAAGTTCAAATGGAAAACAGATCTCAGAAGACTAAATGAATTGCCTTCCAATAAAAAAATGCAAGGAAGATGTTTCCTTGCAGTCTCCTACTGCTTCCCTTTTGGAGGTAAATTTTTAACTCGTTTAGTTCACCTCATTTAGTGCAGAGAAGTGAGTCCCCTCTGCCTGTTTAAAATGACAGTGCAGTTTCCTTATGGGCTGGCAGTACTCTGATACATTGTTCCACCAAAATGGATTTCAGTCTTTGGCCATGAGAAACATGGCCTGAGCACAAGCAGTCCTGACTATGAGGAGAGAGAAGAAGATGCAATAGACACTTGACTGCCAGATGAATCAGGAACAGAACTCTGGCACGCTGTGGCAGATGGGTACTGTACAATGACTTTTCCCCAGTTTAATGATGATTAGCTTGTGACTTTTGAACACTGCATTTGCCTGGGACAACAGTGTTGGGATAATTTGCAGGGAAAGTTAATGTATTTCCACATGTGATAATTCTGAAGAGATTACAGTCTCTGCGACCCAGGGGATCTTCCTGGCTCTTTTGCTGGCAGCTTTTCCTCCTGGGCCCGTGGAGGCTACGCATGGGCTGCACGTGGGTGAGGAGCTCTGCCCTGCTTCTCCAGGGCAGCCTTCAGGAGGCGTGGCGGGAGGATTGTTCCTGCAGCTGCGCTCCCCTGGCCCCGGAGTTGTCTAGGCAGGTTAGCAGCCAGTGAACTGGTGGGATTTAATGACTGTAGGTCCACAATCATTTGCACCCAACCTGTGTATTACCTGTCAACGTTTCTTTTGAATTAAAACACATGATGAGGAGCTTTTGACAGAATTTTACCTTTTTAGCAAACTCCACTCAGCAGAGAGTCTGTGCTAGTTTGGCAATTTACATCATGTGGCCCTGGCATTTTTGATGCAATAGTAGACATTCTGAAAACTGCATTATTTTTCTGTGGAGCTGTGGCTTTTTTTACGTCCCTCCCCATTCCTATGGGGTTATATTTTCTGTGCTGCAATTCTGTGCTACAGAGACCTGGACACTACATCGAAAAGTAAGTGTTGTGTGTTTGTATTTCTAAATAAACATAGTGAAATACTGTAATAATGGACTATCAAGTAGGAAGTACTTCATTATTTACATTAAGTGGTCTTTAGCCATACCAAGAGGAAGAAAGCGAGCACAACTGGACTTCTATGACCATGACTTAAAACACTTAGACTATTATAATTCTTAAACTCAGCCAAAGGAAAAGGAAACAGCTTTTATGGATTGCTAGTTGTTATGCTGAACAGAAGGAGCAGTGTTAGGGAAAAGGTGTAAAAATACATGTATCCTTTAATATAATTTCTTGGGAAAATAATTTTTAAATGGCAAACCTTTATATTTTCTTATGTTTCCATAAGATGTGGTATATGTTAAATTTTCTCCATCCCACAGTACTGTAAGGTGCTTTCTAGAAGCAAAGGCAATAAGTGCTGTGTTGTAAGTTCTTACAGTTCTGAGTGCTCTTCTTTTGCTTGTTGCAGGAGGCAGTTTCAGTTTTGGTTAAGTTTACAGTTGGAAGAGTTCAATAGATAATTGTGTGGTTAAAAACTAAAGTACTGAAGTAACACAAGATACCTCTTGTCTGCAGGCAGATTAGATCTTGGACCATGTTTCCAAGAGAGGAAAATCTCACATGTACTTCCTGATTTCTTCTTTTCATTAATAAAACACGCAAGTGTTTTACATACAACATTTCTCCCCAGTCTATTCTGTTACTGTGTTTTTTACATGAGAAAATTTTAGCTATTTCTTGATAGTTTTGGAATGTTCTACATTTGCAGAAGTGTGTCATGAAATTAAGGAACTGCCAGAAAATTGTTTTGAATTTGTATTTAAAAATGGAATGACCTTGAGTTGACTTAAAATTGAATTAATGTGCTTATCAGGGTGAAGAATACTTTATTGCAGGAGTTATTTCAAGACAACCTAATTTAAAACAAATTGTTATGCTTCAGCTTGCTTACTCTTTGTTATTTTAAGCCATTTGTATATAAAATGTATTGTGTGGCCTGTAAATAAAATACACGAAAACTTGAAGTCTTTGTTTTCCCTCTCTAGTTGTCAAAAAGCATTTCAAAAGAACACGGAGAAAGTTTTTTTTAGTACCCAGATGAAAATAATTTTCAGTGTGTTGAAATTCTTTAAGTTATTTAAGAAAAAATCTTTGCTGCTCCAGTACTGTTTCCAAGGTGCAGCGGAGCATCCCACCCAGCACTGGTCATGCAGCAAAAGCTGGCAGTGTGCTGGGACACGGGTGTGGGACGTGGCCTTCTCCAGCGGTGATAAGCCAGTTCCAGCACCTGGGAGCTTCTCAGAATGGTAGGCTATGTATAACTTTACATGTTTTCTTGGTAGTGTCCAAGCAGAGGTGCAATTAGTATTCCCCACCACAGTCTATTTAAAGAGGATGGGGGGGTGTGTTAGAAGTAACAGGAAATCAATCCCAAAGAGCCAGGTATTTTCAGTTGCAGGTTAGACACTGTAAATTGAGCCTGGCTTAAGCAACTGTGCTTTGAATGCCTGAGGCTTCTTTTGCTTCTTCCTACTGTACCACCTGATCTAATGAAACTGTTTGCATCTTTCAATAAAGTTCCATACAAAAACATGGCACTTGCTGCTATCTTCCATTCTCCAGGTTGGATAGACTGCTGCTTCATCTCTTGTCATTGATCAAAGTCAGAACATGGGCACTGAGAACATGCCCATGAGAACATGGGCAGTTGGAAGTTGCAGGGACCAGCAGCAGTTCTATAGGTGCCATTTGACATTAGGCTGCCAGGATGTGTAGCTGTAGCCCAAAACATCTCACTTTGGAGACAATACTTTGATGACAGCTACAATTAAAGCCTGGACTTCAATTCTGATGACAAGGTCAGGCTGTATTACATAGCGTGTTGACTTGCACACAGCAGATCTGGCAGTTGTGTGTAACCAATTCTAGTTGTCTGCTCAGTTTTTCTCATGTAAGCTGCTATTGCAACCAGTAATGTAACAAAGTTGGCTCTGGTTTGTGTTGGAGTATGAAACTGTAACGGTTTGAAAATGGTGCGGCATCCCATTCATTCAGCTGTTACTGCCACATGGGTGTGTAATAAGGTACCAGTAATAATTCCAGTGGGAACTGCATGAGAATCAGTATCCTCAGCTGCAAAAAATCAGCATCAAGTGAAAGATGAGAGATTGCAAATAACTGCAGAACAACAGCCTGTATCAACACAGAGCAAGGAATGTGTCTCTGAAATTGGTGGCAAGAGAGGAAACCAACCATCTCATATCACAGCCATGAATTATTGCCTGTTAGCTCTGAAAGTACAATGCAGGTTTGCAAAAATTTCTTTTAAATTACCAGAACCAGGATTAGGTTGCTTCTATTTTTAAGGAATGCCTATAAACCCTGACAGGCCACCTGGATGAACGGGATTACAGCTACCAAACTCCCCGGTGTGGGAGAAAATGAGTCAGAACACTTTACAGTGACAGAAAGAAAGGGAGAGAGAACTTACTTGACAAATAAGGGGAACTGTTTCTTTCCCCAGTCAACTATTCGCTTTGATGGAGCTTGAGGGTTTTGCTTTTAGAATTGTGTGCTCATTATGGCTGCTTATTTTGGTGTTTTTTTTTTTATCGCCCCTGGAGAGAACTCACAGTCAGAGGAACCTTGAGTCTGAGCCTATGGTAGTGTTTTCTTTTTCTTCATGTATAGCAGCCCTTGCTAATAGGCAATGCTCAGATCATTTTACGGAGCATGGCTTCAATTCTGTTACAGCAGTTCCTCTGTGGGCACTTTGGATGTACTATTGCTAATTCTCATAATATGGTGAATATATCTTTAATGGGACTTCTTGCAAAGAGGCTTTGTGAGGATTTTTTTCAATATTAGAAAATACAGGGTAGAAGAGATATAGCTGGTTAGAAAAGGGAATACTTGAGGGTAAGCGTTACAGAAACCAGACTGGGAGCTCCTGGTACGTGCAAGCAGATCTGACAGCTGTGTGCTGCCCTTAAGGTAACTTGGGGTGATTAACTGGTTTCTGTAGTTAGTATTTGGCTTGTGCAGATGTGTGTCTGTGCTGTACTACCTCCTATGTGCTAGGGTACTGTGTTAGCTGCTATAGGACATAGTTATAAGCAAGTGTTTAATAATGTGCGGCAATGTCTAATACAGGTGCCTTTTTTCTTTCATTCAAGTTCTTTTCAGACCTGTTTTACAAATGCACACAGCATGTCAGCAGGTACTGTCATGGGGGAAAAGCACACTTTCTCCTGCCCTTCAAATGTCTTCTGAGGATCTTAGTTTTGCCCAGGTGG